GGACGTGGACAACCAGGATCTCTTAATGCCCTGCTGTTGAGAATGTGAGAATGTAAATTGATACAACCACCTCGAAGAACAATGTGGCAACAAATGGCAAAGCTGTGCATGACCATAGGGGGCAGCCCTGGCAGTTAAAGATGGGAAGACCCAGGGGCGCCTGGGTGGCGCAGTCGGTTAAGCGTCCGACTTCAGCCAGGTCACGATCTCGCGGTCCGGGAGTTCGAGCCCCGCGTCAGGCTCTGGGCTGATGGCTCAGAGCCTGGAGCCTGTTTCCGATTCTGTGTCTCCCTCTCTCTCTGACCCTCCCCCGTTCATGCTCTGTCTCTCTCTGTCCCAAAAATAAATAAACATTGAAAAAAAAAAAAAATTTTTAAAAAAAAGATGGGAAGACCCAAACTGCAACCCAGCAATTCCAATCCTAAACATGCAAGCTGGCAAGATTCCACATGTGTGCACAAGGAAGTATGTATGGTCAAGAATGTTATAGCAGGACTATTTATAGTGACAAAAAGAAACAAAGTAATAGGATGCCTGGGTGACTCAGATCATGATCTCAAGGTTCATGGGTTCGAGCCCCGAACCAGCTCTGTGCTGACAGCTCAGAGCCTGGAGCCTGCTTCGGATTCTGTGTCTCCCTCTCTCTCTGCCCTTCCCCTGCTTGTGCTCTGTCTCTGTCTCTCAAGAATAAATAAACGTTAAAGAAAAAAAAAAAAGTAGATGCATGTCTATCAACAGGAGACTAGAGATGGAAAAGTCTTCCAGCCCTGAGAAAGTGAAGGGAAGTCATTTGTATCAACACAGACCTGTCTCAGAGGGTGAAGTGATACAAGTTGCAGAAACATGCAAACTGTAGGACACAGTTACATAAGGCTTAAAAACACACACTATATACTACCCAAGGATAAAAAAAAATTCGTGTGATCACAGTAAAAGAAATACATGAAAATAATAGAAACCAAATTCAGGATGACAGTTATGGGAGTAGAGGAGGGATCGTGGAAGGACTTGTAAAGCTGTCGCTATATTGAGAATATTTTAATGGCATTATGCAATTTATTGCACCTTTTGTCTGTCCCAATCATTTCATGATAATTTATGAAGAAAGATTTCTCTCTCCTCCGATTACCATGAGAGGTGTCCCGCTCCATTCCCTCCTCAACTTCAAACTTGCTTCTGTGCCCAGCTCTCTTTCGAAACAGCTGTAGCCAAGTTCACGGGTGACCTTCATGTTGACCACCAAAGTGACGTCTCTTCCCTTGACAACAGGCAGCAGAGCAGATGGTTCCTCCTTCTTGAAACTCTGCCTCTCCACACACCCCCATTCCCCACTCCACTCCCCACCAACCCCCTGCCACCCCTGCCTCACACACTGCATCTTTTCTGTCTCCTTTGCTGGCTCGATCCAGGGACCCCTTTTCCTCACCATCGACATCTCCTCTTAGGTGATTTCCCCTAGTTCCATGACTTTCAATGCATCTGTATGCTCCCAGATACTTCCAAGTGTGTATTCCTGACCAAGATACCCAATAGCCTATTTGACAAATCCACATGGATGCCGAGTAGGTAGGATGAGCATACAATTTACCATCCAAACACTCCTCGGAACAAAAGTAGAACCACAGACGTAACCTGAACTGTCCCAGGTAGACGATGTTAGTCTACATTAATGTGGTAGTTCAGTCACAACATGTTCAAACTAGAAATCTCCAGTTGGGGCGCCTGGCTGGCTCAGTCGGTGGAGTGTGCAACTCTTGATCGCGGGGTTGTGGGTTCAAGCCACACGTCGGGTGTAGAGATTACTTAAAAATAATTAAAAAAAAAAAAAGGAAAGAAAGAAAGAAGGAAGGAAGGAAAGAAGGAAAGGGAGAAACCTCCGATCTATGCTAAAATCTGTCCCTTACTCTGATTCCCATCTCCGTGAAACCCATTTTCTCAAAACAGAAATCCAGGAATCTGAACTATGAACCCCACCATCCTTGAGCCTTTCCTTTCCATCATGTCCCATACAATCTATCCACAGAACCTACAGCATCTACCTGCAAAATACCCACACCCCGTGTCTCTTGCCTGCTAACCCACGCTTGTCCCTCTACATTCCGTTCTCCACACAGCAGCCAAAGGGAGCCTTCTAGAACTCAACATCAGACCGCGGCACCCCTCACTTAAAAGCCTTCCACAGTGAGTGGATTATTGCCATCCACAGCAACACAGACGAATGTCACAAACAGGAGGTTGAACAAAAGAAGCTAGACCCAACAGAGCAGACCCTATAATTCCTTTATATGAAGTTCAAAACCAGGAAAGACGAATCTGTTCCTGGAAGTCAGGAGAGTGAGTACCATTTCTTGATGCAGGTGCTGGTTGCACAGGGGTATTGGGTTCATGAGAAAATTCATTAAGCTCATGTACAGTTGAGACTTGTGCACTTTGCATACTATATTTCAACACAAGATTTTCACTTGTTTATTGTCTAGATCACTCTACCACCGATTTAGGCTCCGGTGGGTAGGGATCTTGTCTGCTGGCTCATTGCCGTATCCCCAGAGCTCGACGCACTGCTGGACACACAGGCTCTGACAAGGACTTGTAGGGGGATGCAGTCAGACCAGCAGCAGGGAGAACCTAGGAGGTGAGGGCAGGTGACCCGTGGGAGTGATGACCAGATCCAAACCGTGGCTAAAGCCAGAATGGAGAGGAGGAGAGAGCGGAGAAGGATTTAGAAGGTGAAATTAAGTTGGTAGACTGCTGATTTAACTTTCCAATTACTTCTTACTCCAAAGATAAAAACAACACTCTTTACAGTGACCTTAAGGTCTTAACGCGATCGGTCTCCAGTTCCCCTCTGACCCCTCCCCACCCCCACCCCCGCCCCAGCCTTGTGGAGCTCCTGCTCATACTGA